GGTGGCATGGGAATAGGAATTCGCCCCAGGCGACTTTTTCCGCATCGTGGCAGCCCCTGGAGGCCCATGGTGGCTTTTCAAGAACGAAAGGGTGCCAGAGAAATTCAAAAGGGATTTCTGGACCGTGAATCTGCTCGCGTAACAGCGACAACAAGGAGGGGGAGTTTTGCATTCGTCGCGCCCGGGAACGAATCTACCCGGGTTTAGTATTTGGCTCAGGGGTTGCGGAACTGTTTTTGGGTATACGTGGTGTTTTGCTCGCAATCAATTTATAGCTGACGAGATCATCATCAGAACCAATTGCTTTGCCGTACTTCTTTGCTGTCTTGATCTTCTTCTGCCTACAGGAGGACAAATTGGGTGCTTTTCTTTGTGCTTTATCATGAGGATTTTAGGGTACAAACTATAGTCTAAACTCCTAGTATCCCCCTGAATAACCCCTATAGTAGTCCCCTAAATACTCCCTTATACAACCCCCTTTAAGGAGTTTACAATATGGCTCAATATATTACAAATATTACCTATCATAATGTAGTAGCTTCCATTTTCTTTTCTATTATCCCTGTATAACCCCAATATGATAGTTCCCCAAATTTAAGGGATCCCAAAATAGACCCCAATATTTTATAATCCTTATTATGGGGACCCCCAAAAAGGTAGTCCTAATTTTGGGAAATCCCCATATATTGCCTTGCTCATAGGGGGGTATAAGTTCCAACTCACTTGTGCTCGCGCAGGTGCAGTCCGTACTCCGACAGGTGGCTGAGACAGGCGCTCTGCAGGCGCAGCGACCTTGCTAAGATATCCGGGGGTTTCCCAAAAATGAGGGGTACCTTCTTGGGGGTCCCCATAGTAAGGCTATCTAAGGATTGTAGTATATTGTGGGCAATATTGGGGTATCCCTTGTTTTGGGAAACTGCCATTTTTTGCTGGAGGATCACATGAAAATCAAGCGGACAATTAGATTACAGACACCAGTATACATGGGGATATAGGGATTGAGTGCAATCACCAACCAAGACCTTGGGACACCTGAAAAGAAGTCAAGGGAGGTTTTTCGGGTTTAGGACAGCATTTCGACATCAAGCCCTATGCTAGGCGCCAAAGGGTAAATGCCAAATTCGACACTGTGGACAACGGTTCAAAAGAACAAGCCGCTACCCGAAGCCCTACACCAGAAATCCAATGCTCCAAATCCTCAACTCTGAATCTAAGGTCCTAAGCATGGGCCCCTACCGTGAACCCCTACTTGCTTGCTGGGCCCGCGACTAGAAGCCCACGTTTCCATGGTTTAGTCTTGGACAAAAACCAGGAGGACTTCCTGCTTCGGCTGCGAAATGCGCCAAGCAGTCCAAAGGCCCACTTCTACTCCCTGATGCTTAGTAGGGAATGGGGGAATGGATCCCTATACTAGTCCCTATCGAATCCCCAATGAGCATCCCCATGATCCATTCCCCCATTCCCTCCTCAGCACCAGGGAGTCTCTCAAGCTTTGTCAGGGATGTTCTTAGAATGAGGTTGAGGGTTAGGGGGTCTGGGTTTGAGGTTCAGGATTTGGGGTTTTGGCTTCAAAGCAGGCTTAGGCGGTAGGGCATGGTTTAAGGATTGGGGGTTCAGGATTTGTAGGGTCTAGAGCAAGCTTAGATTTTTTATTTGCATTTGTTTTTTCGGGAGCTTTTGCGTTTTAGGTAGGACCGGGTTCTGCAAACTGCGGTTGACATAATGCTTTGTTAGTGTTTGCATCCTGTCATTTAGTCTTTCCGACACCTGGCCTTTTGTTTCTTGGTCATTGTGACTTGAATCAGTGAAACCTTCTGCCTTAACGCAACTTTCGTCGTATCGGTCTGTCGTAGTTTCAAGCCCTGCTGGGGATCGTATTGTAAGTACATGTATAGTCCCCCTTAAGCAGATAGAACATGGCATTGTGTATATTACAATAAGATCCCCATGTAATTACCCCACATTCTATCTACTTAAGAAGGACTGTACATGTAAGTACTGTTCTTATTGTCTTGCACATGCTGCTGTGGAGGAGGCTGCTGAGCCTGTGGCCGAGCCGGCCAGGGAGCCTGCGGAGGAGCCGACGAAGCCAGAGGAGGAGCCGAACCCCTACCACCAAAAGGCATACAACTCCTATAGGGGGTGGTTGTCAAAATTATTGTTCCTTTTTGGGTACCCATTATGATCGGGATCCAAAAAAAAACCATGATGTTGACAACCACCCATATGATTTCTACATATAATCCCTGCATGCTAGTCTCAACCAACTATTCGGGCCTCGGCTCCAACATCTTAAGCCCAAACGCAGGCAGAGCCTGGAGAGGAGGATGCGGCCTTGGTGGCCATGGAGGAGATGCTCCCAGCCTCCTTGCAATGTGAAGCTGGAGACCTTGCTACAGCGGTGCGCTCCTGAGAGTGGGTATGACTGGGCGGTTAGGGTAGGGGTCCAGAGTTTAGGGTTGCAGGCTTGGAGTTCAAGGTTTGGGATGTACGTTTCGCGCCAGCTTGCGCTGCATGGTTTCGCCTCCTTTGTCTTCTTCTTGTTCTTCTTGTTCTACAGCTTTTACTCATCTTTGTTCTCTTTGGGGCCATGATGAGTTTGCTCTTTGTTGCTGATGTGTTGCTAAAAACTCCTCCCATTTCTGCGCTTTCATCGATATGATCTGATTCTGTGATCGCTAGTCCTGTTCTTATGCGTTCAATTGGAACCACGATTTTCGTGTCGCCACGTGATCTCATCTTGGCATTACACCATATGAATGCTGTACTCTACTACTATCATGCTGCATGATTGTTCGGTTACATCATTGCTGTCGTGCTAGTACAACACATGTCCAAATCATAGTCCCCCTTAAGTAGATAGACGATGGCTTTAGGTATATTAAGATAAGATCCCCAAAAACCCCATGGGTGGACTATGTCTTAAGACCCTGCAGGCGGAGCTTTGCCGGGCCTGCGGCCTCCGGGACTTCTCCGACTTTGCGAAGCTGGGCGACCGCTTGACCAAACTGGAGGCATGTCGGGGAAGACATTTTTGTGGGAACCGCGTTGACCCGTTGACTATCTAGGTTCACATAGGTTGTAGGCCTTGGGAATTTGTGGCATGTTTCTTCCAGTGATTTTCGGTGATGGAACGGTTTTCCGGGTATCGTCATACCTTCGGATGCTCAATGTGGTCGGATGGTGTCATGATAAGGGATGATTATTTTTGCTTTTTGATTTTGCCCATCGCAGGGATCGGCTTCCGCAACCGACTTGCTTCGAGCGGGGACGGCTTTCTCGGACTTGGGCGTTCTGCATCCGGCCCTCTTCCAGGCCATGGCCAAGGCGGGGACACCAGCACTTGCAATGGGAATGCTGGTGCCAGTTGTGTCGGATGACAGAAGAGGAGGAATGACAGGTGTCAGGGCCGGTTGTAGTAGTGGCAGAAGGAAGAAGCAGCAGCAGGAGCAGTAGAACGCAGAACATGCAGTCTTGTAGTTAGAGCAACATTCCTGAAGCACAACGGGGCAGCCATCCTGGAACGTCCCAAAAGCTGCTTGCGCAGCACAAGTCCCCCTCAGCAAATGCCTCTTGCAAATGCCTCTTGATGCGTCGAGCACTACTTTCCGTATCACGTTCTCGTTCCTTCGAACAGCTTTTGACTATTGCCAGGAGTTGTTTTTTCATCATCTTTTTCCAGTAGTTCTTGTTGCGAAGTACCATCAAGATGTGACAAATCTTCTCACAAGTTATATCGTGACTGCTTCTCCTTGCCTATATCTTCCTTTGTATCGGCATATCTCTAGTGAACCCTAAAGCCCTCCTTCTCAATACTGCTCGTGAATAGGGCATGGAGGAAAGCATCCCTAGAGGAGCCCCCTACATAATCCCCAACAATGTACTGGGTATTAATTTCCATTCTCTGTCTGTTTGATCTTCCATTCCCCACGAATTAAACCTAAGCGCTAGGCCCCCAAATCAAATACTACAGCAGTTTCTATTTTCTTTTCCATCATTCCTTTATAAGTACTATAAACTATAGTAGTATCGATTTTCTTTCCCACTATTCCCTTGATATGCTACAGAAGTTTCCATGTTCTTTTCCATCTCTTCCTTTCCGAACAACCAGTACTTAAGACTGCCCAGCGCAAGGCGCTGCTTGGTTCCTGGCCCGATCCCTTCACGGCGGCCGACGCGGCTCAGCTCGCGCGGGTACCTCGCCTGGGGTGGTTCGCGGAATTTTCTTATACAGGGAAGGAGCGTGGAAACTACAGCAGTATTGGGCTGGGGGCGTTTTTCTGTACTTACGGCAAAGAACGTGGAGACTGTTGTTGGATTTGAGGTTTTACTATTTGATGCATTCCACTTGCACAAGGGAACGGACAAGCAAAAATGGAAAGGACTCGTGCGATGCAGGAATTCAAGGGTCTAGTAGGGAACGAAGGAGTGGAAAAGAAATTCCCACTACAACATAATTTGGGCTTCAGGTTTAGGCTGAGAAGGCAATGTGGAGTGAAAAAGACAGTGAAAGCTACTGGTTCGTGTTCGTGACGAGAAACGAGTTACGATAATGTGTGCTAGCAAAAATCCTTTCTGGCAAAACGATCGAAGGTGTTTTGCATTTCATGGTTTCATGATATTTCATGATGTATTTCATGATCATGGGAATTGCATTCATGATAAATGGCATGATGATATCGTGGCCATTTTGGATGCTAGACCCACTTAAAGGGGGGGCAAATTTTGAGTGCCCACCCTTCCCACCCCGATAGGGAGCTGGCCTGCCCAAGGCAGGAGACTGCTCTCGGGGTACGCTGGGATTTTGCCACGCCGATAAAAAGGTGAGAGCGCTAGCGTCTTCGTGCCTCGATGGATTATCAAATATGTGATGTATTTCATCTATTGATTGAATACTATTTGTGGCTAGNNGTGGCCATTTTGGATGTTAGACCCCTTAAAGGGGGGGGGCAAATTTTGAGTGCTGGGGGAAAGGGAACGCGGCTAAGATCCGCGCTGCCATGAGCGACCTGCTAGATAGGTGCCGGGCGCACCTGAGTCTGGTAGGCTTCGGCCCCCGTGAAATGGCTACTCTGGATGTCAACGATAGTGGTGACATTGCTACGCAGATAGCATGCGAACTGAACATCATCCCAAGCCAAGAATTGGAGGATGCTATCGTTGACTGGATACAGGAAGCTCGCGAGCCCGCGAGGACGGCTATGCGACTGGAAGGAGTCCTTGCGAGCGATATAGAGTGGAACCGCCTCCAAGAGAGACGGAGGTTTGGCCCGGCTATGGCTCCAGAGCCAGCACCCCCTCCGGGGGACAAGATAAGGAAGCTAGAGCTCACTGGGCTTGAGCTCCAGGTGCGAGAGGAGAAGCTCCTCGATATGTGGGCAAAGAAGCTTCGAGACGAGCTCCAAGCTAGTTCCGCCCCCGTGCTGGTGAAACTAGAAGGCAGCCTGGACCCTTCACGGGCTGCTGAGATGATAGCGGGGAGGATCCGCTCCAGTACTCTAAAAAGATACGTGATAGTATACCAGAGGTGGCGGCTATGGCTGCAAGAGGCTAAGCTACTATCGCCACCGAGCAGGCCGGTGGATCTGGTGGACTATCTGCTAGTGCGAAGGGACGAGCCTTGTGGACGCTCGGTCCCTAAAACGATAATGAAGGCTATCTCATGGTTTGAGAAGATAGCTTAATTCCGCCTTGATATCCGGGCCACAGAGGGCCGGATAGCCTGGGCTACAAAAGATAAAATCATCGAGATGCTCGCTGAAGGGGCCCCGCTCATCAAGCGAGCCCCCCGCTATCCGACGTGGATTCTGTTGAAGATAGACAGACTGGTGACGGATGCGGAGGAGATAGCCTGCATCCGGATATGGGCTTGGATAAAGCTCGTGAAAACTTGGGCCTCTTTGAGATGGTCCGATATCCAAGCAATAAAGCCTGAAGAGCTACGTCTGGAAGAAGGGCGCCTGGTTACGGTCCTCCGGAGGACCAAGACATCAGGTCCGAACAGGAGGATCAAAGAGCTACCGCTATGTGTCAGCGAAATGGCCTTCTTCGAGGATCCGAGCTGGATAAAGGCTGGCTTTGAGCTAATCAAGGAGAAGGCGCCGTTCAAGGGATTTAGGGATTTAGGGATTTAGGGTGTAGGGAGAAGGGTTCAGGAAGTATTAGAGTTTAGGGTTTAAGGTTCAGGGCCTTCAGTATTCAGGGAGGGTTTCTGGTTGATTGTCTAGGATTTCAGGTTCAAAGTTTAGGGTGTAGTCGATTCATGCTTGAGGCTCAAGGTTTAGGAGTTCGGCGTTCAGGGCAAGGGCTTTTGGATTTGGGGCTTAGATTTGCAGGTGTAGGTATGTGGCGTTAGGGTGAAAGATTAGGGGTTTTGCATTTGGCTTTTGGGAGCTCAGGTTCTTTGGGGCTTTATAGCTATGGAGCGTGGGGTCTCGGTAACCCAACTTCTCTCTCCGACTGATGTGGAACCTAGCAAGCCTACGCCACGGCCTGGCGAAAGCCCAAGAGCACAAAAGCTTGCAGAGCGAACAGATGGAGCAGCCCTTCTCTGAGATGCAGGCAAGCTTGGATGGTCTGGCGAATTCAGGGCTAGAGATTTATGGTTTAGGTTTACGCTTCGAGGTGAGGGTTTCAGGGCTTGTGGCTTCGCATGAGGGCTTTAGGGTTTGGGACTTCGGGTTTAAGGTGAGGGATGGTTCGGGGGTCAGGGCCGGGGTTTATGGTTTCGGAGGGGGGCTGAGGTCCATGGTTTTGAAGGGTTTTGGGTGTAGACCGTTTATGAGGCTTAGTTGAAGCGAGCTTCCCATTTGTTTTAGTTCGTGGCGCAGGTTAGGCAAGTCTCTGTTATCTCTTGATCTTGCTGTCACTGGGCTTTTTGGGTGCAGGCCTCCAAACGACGCGGACCCCCGCCACGAAGGCTTGACTGTCGGGACCCCGGTCGGAAGAATGCTAACTTACCCAGAGGGTCCAAGAACTTAATAATAAGGTACTTGGGTTGGGCTACTAGTAGTTGCAGTACAGGGTTTTGGGTAAGCAGATGATATTTAGGTACTTGGACCCTTAGGGTTAGCACCTGCATACGATCCGCGTGCCGATGCATCTGCGCGATTACATCCCGCCATAGTATGCGTTAGAGCAGGCGCACCAAAGCTTGCAGAGCAAGAAGATGGAGCAGCGTGTATCTGAGATGCAGGCACGTGTCCACGCGCTTGCAAAAGACCACAACAGGCTTTATAGCCCTTCCGCTCTGGGCCCTCGATAGGGTTTCGGGCTGAGGGTCTAGGGGCCCAAATAGTCACCACAATTATTGTTGTAGAACAGCTAGTCGTGGAGAAGCAGATCAAGAAGAACATGGAAAATCACATGGATAGTGGTTTCAGAGAGGGATTTTGAGGGGTCATTCCACATGTTTCAGAGAGGGACTTCTGGGGGTCATTGCAAATATTCTCTGCGCCAACACATGGGAACAGGGATATTTGGAGGTTCAGGGATTACTACAACTCGGAATGTGCGATAACTACAGTCCATACAAGGAAACGCAATGGATCCAGAAGTTATTGAATTTTAAATCATGATTTAATAGTTCTCCTTAGGTACCTTGATCAACCTACCTTTGGGACAATTAAATCAGGATTTAATATGTCTGGTGTATTAGGGAAACAGAATTCTTCAAAATGCTGCTTTAAATGTCCTACTATCCACGAGATAGCTAGAGGCCCCTAGCCACAATTAGATCACGATTTAATTGTGCGGATTTG